GCGGGACCAACCCAGCAGCACCCCAGCTGCTCTGCTCCCAGCTTCCCCGATTCAGCTGCTGGTCAGTTTCAGCAGCAGCTGAATGGGGGAAGCCTGTCCGGCTGCCCCAGCACTTCCGGGTTCCTGATGGTGCCGGACCATCAGGAGTCCCGGAGCATTGGATGCCGGACTAATGGAGTTTTACTGTATTTAGAAAGTTCCTATCACTACTTAGCTCAGCACTTGGGATTTTCAGCACTTAAGGCATATTATAATCAAAGCAAACTTATTTAAGAGTACATTATCCATTATTTTCAATTCTGAGAACAAACAATCTGTTCCTACATATATTTTGCCAAAGAAAGTCCATAAACCTCCAGACATTAAGTTTGCACACCACTGGTATTGCAGTACCTAGCCATAATGGGAAAACATCACTAACAGAATGGCATATAAAAGGTTTTCATACCTTTTTCTCTGAGCTAGTGCTCTGAGGAGCTAGTGTCCCACACTCCTTTGGAGTACTGCACAGTGATGTTGATTTGTCTAACAATGGTTTTTCCATCTTGAGATTAATTTAATATACTGTGGAAATGAGAGAAACATATTAATATTCAGAATAGACATATACCTTGACAAGTCAGGTGCTTTTTCCCCTGCCTAAAGTGATGAAACAGGACCACCAAGGGGTCAGGAAGACCATTTAAAAGCGGTGGTAAGAAAATACCAACATTACATGACATTTTCTAATTGTTCTGTTTACAAAGTCATCTGCACAAAAAAGTGGCTTTATTCTTCCAACCTTCTTTCCACTGACTAATACACTGCTCTGTGATTAGCCCTCTCCATTACAATAGGACAAATGGCATACTACTCAGTACAAGTATGGCAAACTTGACCTTTATTGTTAATTTGTCTGTATTCTTTATGTAACTCTTACAAGTTTTTGGTGGCCCCAGAGTGCCCTGACAATTTTTCCTAAAATACTTAACTGTAGGAAAAATGTGTATGCATATATACATGTCCAAATCCTTGTAATTTATTTATGTAGAGGTTTTCTGCATACTCAAGTACAATGATGTACAGTTGTTTGTATTCTTTACTGGAACTACAAAGAACAGAAGCACAAATAAGACGTTTTGCACATTCTTTTCTTTGTTGCTTTTTAACAGATTTGCTAGCTCAGTGGTGGGCAATAATCGGCCTTTGGGCCAGATGCAGTTTGCCAGGGTTAGTACCTGTCAGGCCACCAATACTGTATTTACTTGTGTCTCCACAGGTACAAAGTACCTGGCAGGCCACCAATACTGTATTTACTTGTCTCCCCACAGGTACAGGTGTTTGCAGCTCCAGCCAAGGGGAGCTGCGGGAAGCGGTGTCCTAGTAAACTGCCACCATCTTATTGCCCACTCCTGCTAGCTAGTTGATCTGCTGTTGCAAAAAGTAATATTTGTATGTTTGTTACTATCACTTTTCACAGCAGATTTCAAAGCCTCCCAGCCAGCTTGTAAAAATGACATTAACAAAACATAGAAATATCAATTTTCACAGCAGACTCACTCAGCCCTGGCAAGCCAGAGGTCAAATTAAGCCCTGTATGGGAAGGTGAGTTGGGAGACAGTGGGGGTGAAGGGAGGCAGCTGGGCCAAGAGCAATGCAGGGCGGAAAGCTGTCTATCTTCAACTGGAGTCCCATGACTGGAGCCTCCCACTGACCACCCCAGAGGTGAAGCCTGCATCTCATCACCCTGGAATGGTAGGGAACTTACTGGCTGCCTGTTCCTCTGGTGTTTGTGGCTCCAGAGGGTGGTAGAGCCAAACCCCTGCTGGTGACCCTGGGAAAGGGGCTACTGTTTTCAACATCCCTACTCCCATTCAATGCCCAGAGTGCTGTGACTTCAAGAAAAGCCTCTGGAGGTTACATTTGAGAAGTGCGGATATAGAATCTAGAGATATATAAAGCCTAGAAAGAATAAAAGTACAAATACAAAATGAATATGGTTCCCAATCTCCATCATTAGTCTCTGTCATTTGCACCCGTACTGGTGGAAGCCCTTAAACTCTGCAGAGCCAGTCACATGTATTTATAAAGAAATGGAATCCATTATCGTATGCTCAGAAGGCTAAATCCTGCCATTTCCTACTCATATGCATAGTCCTCACAGCAAACAGACACCCCTCAACTTCAAAACTTGAGCAGTGCTTACTGCTTCTCTGAGTAAGACCTTGAAGAATCAGTCCTTCAGTTTGGCCATTTCTCACACTGAGATAAAAGATTGTCAGGAGCCACAGGATTTTTATTGTTCAACTTAGTGATGTGAATAGTTAACTGGTGGCCAAGCCGGAGCAGCCCCCACCCACAGTAGGCCCAGTTTGGCTGGAGCAACTCACAGCACCACAGGCAGGTGTGCTCTAACCCAGCCAAAGCAGCCCCCATCCATGGTGCAGCGCTGCTCCAGCCCTCCCTCATTTGAATGGTTAACTGGTTAAACATAACATTAACCAGGTAGTTGATTAAACTGGATTTTACATCCCTAGTTCAACTGTACAAGTAATTAAGATTTTTTTAAAAAGACTAAAACTAATTACACACACACACACACAAAAGAATCTAGTATTTTATTTGACATGTAATGCTTTTAGGTATGTCCCATGGAAAAGTATATTATTCACGTAAGTGGAATTTTTAGATTAAATGAAGCTGCCCCAATGTGCTAAAAAGCATAGTGATTCAATGACAAGTAGTATTTCTCAGCACATATCAATTTTACATTGATCTGACATTTTATTTAGTTCATGCAATGTGCTGTAGCTATGTCAGAGAATATTAGAGAGAAAAGGTGAATGAGGTAATATCTTTTATTTGATCAACTTCTGAAGTTTTCTTCTTCTGAACAATAAAAAATCTAGACTAAAGAGACAAGGAGGGTAAGGTAGTTTGGCATTTCTCAACTATCAGCAAAGCTGTCTATTGTGCCTTCTGATTACTGGAGACTGACATTAGCAGATTAGAAACAGAACAAAGAAGCCTCCTAAAGTTAAGGGCATTTTATTTTACACTGATCACATAGCTTGTTTACATTTACATGAGGTACTCTCTCAACAACAGGCTTTTAACACTAAACCTGCAGCTCTCCAAATCCTCTTTGAAACAAAAAGTGACAAGGCAATCCAGGCCAGGTCTGCATAGACAAGATATTAACCTTATTTGTCTTACTGCTAGACCAAAACTACGTTACCCTTTACATTCAAGATTCAGCACACACTATTCTATTTTAGGCTATTTTTTTAAAGGCTGTTAGTCATGTGTCTTAGCAACTAATATCTGAAATAGGTAGCATTTGCAGAATGTAACAGTGATAAATTATTTTCATAGCATAGTGGTAAGCTACTTAAACTATGAAGTAAGACGTTAGGAAAAATATACACCATACCTATACAGTACAGTATTTCACAGATTATGTGGTAAATCTCTCCCTACTAAGCAAGAGAACATTTTAAAACCTGAAAACGGCCTTCAACAAAATTCTCAATGCCTTTCTGAAATTCAATGGTTCACTGTTGGCCTTCACACAGGTTACTCTTCTTCAAGACATTATTCTACTAAATCAAATTTTCCAAGGGTGCCCTGGTATCAGCATGCATCTATAACTGCACTTCTCCACAGGTCTCAGCAACTTGGTCCTGCATAGCAAGAATCCTCCCTTTATGAATCAGGATCAATTTTATTCCTATGCAAAAACACTATTTAACATGTAAAAACTGCTTCTTCCATTGTAAATAGAACCACTGTGACTTAGGAGAGCATTATCTTTTCCTCTGCTCTGCCACTGACTTACAGTGAGGCCTTGGGCTGGTCCCTTCCTTGCCTCAGTTTCCCCTACTGCACAATAATGCTGCTTACTTTGTGAACAGCTTTCAGATGTACAGTGAACAGACACTATAAGAGCTAGGGATGTTAAATTTAAATTAAGTGGCTAATTGAATAGTCAATGCAATTTGCATTGACTATTTGATTAGCCCATAAGAGCTACCAATGTAGCTCTGCATTGGTTAATTTGGGTGCAAAGCTCACAGACAATGAAGTTACATTAATACCTAGCTCTTATTAGGCATGTGAATGACTAGTTGACTATCCGATGAGCAAATGCTTATCAGACAGTTGACACACTAGTTGACTAGTCGCTCCCCCCCTTGCTGCCTCTAGCAGAAAGAGGCAGCAAGGGGGGGAGAGGAAGAGGAGGGGGTTGCTACACTTCAAAGGCAAAAGCACTGAGGGAAGCACGGGGCCAGCTTGGTCCCTCACTGGCCCTGGGCTCCCCACAGCATTTCAAAGTGGCAGCACTGCACAGAGCCCGGGGTCAGTGAGGGTGTCCCCAGCTGACTCGACTTCAGCACTTTCACTTGTG